GTGTGTGTGTGTGTGTGTGTGTGTGTGTGTGTGTGTGTGTCAGATTCATGAATAGCTAGGCTCTTTTTCATTGAAAGAGAGATTCTGTGTATTTTTCATTGAAATTCTGTAGAAAAGAAGGAATTTTCTAAGGAATGCATGTATTCTGCTGCCTTCTATACCAGTTTAGACTAATGTCTTATGAGGAAATGGGACAGGGTTGTAACTGTTATGGTTAAACATTGTAAATAAGTGTAATCTCGTGATGTTATCATCTGTTAGCGCTCCGACAATGTGCTGAGGAAGACTCTCAGCGACTTATCACATTAGATTTTAGCTAATAATCAATAAAACTGATTGTGTTCTGTTTCTTATCTCTTAACTGTTCCTCTGCAGCGCCATGGATAAGAGCCACACAGTGAAGCTCTTTGTGGGCAACCTGGCTCTGGACACCACCCAGGAGGAGCTGTCGGCCATCTTCGAACCCTATGGCCAGGTCGTCAGCTGCAGCGTGCTGCGGCAGTTCGCCTTCGTGCACCTGCAGGGCGAGGGGGCCGCTGAGCGAGCCATCCGGGAGCTCAATGGGCGGGAGTTTCGCGGTCGGAATCTGGTGGTGGAAGAGTCGAGGGGACGGCCGTTGCACTCCACAAAAGTGTTTGTGGGCAACCTGAGTGGGATGTGTACCACCGAAGACCTCAAGCAGCTGTTCCAAACTTTTGGGAAGGTTCTTGAGTGTGACAAAGTCAAAGGTATGCAACTGTGGTTTATTTCAAGGGACGGTGTTAATGGCCTTTTTCTGAAGTGGTGTTCTATGAACAATTTCAGTGTTACTTTTTATTAGATATTAACAGTATAGGATTCCTGCAGATCCTTAAAAGGCATTGAATTCATCAATCCAAAAATAAGGCCTTAATTAGCCTTAAAATGGCTTAAATCAACCTTTCTGAAGTCTTAAAAATGTCAACACATTGTAATTAGGATGATTGTAATTCATCTCAAATGTTAAAATAATTGGTAAAAATAATTTTTTAAAAATTCACATGCAGATTTTCCTCTTTGACATCACTTTCTGTTATTTCACATGCAAATATCTCAATTGTTCATCTGAGCAATGTGAAATTTGTTTTGTAATAAGTTATAATGTTGTCTTTCCAAAAATGCATTCACTTTTCTTACAAAAAATTGATGTCACAGGCACTTTAAGGTTTCATCTAGGGCTGCACCGATTAGTTGAAATAATCGATGACGTCGATTATGTAAATTTGTCGACGCAGATTTTTTATTATCGATTCGCTGTATTACATCACCACCACGTGAATGTTCATGCAATTCCATTTCGGTACCTAAAAGCATCATTGCGACCGTATTGGCATAAGAGTKGTGAGTTTTCCATGCTTGTCCTGAACGCAGCATCGCGCAAGAGCGTAGTGACGTCAGCAGCTGCTGCTTCAGTTCAGTCTGAAGCCTGAAAACAAGCCTCGCAGCTCCTGGAGTAAAATTTACCGAACAGACCRCCTCTGAATTATCTGGTGGATTAATTATCTTGTGAACATGACGTTCACTTGCTCAAA